AAGTATTAATCACAGGGCTTCAACAGCTTCCCTGCACAGGCAGACACTGGCCTAGGTGCTCACTGTTGTGCTGCTGGTTAGGGAGAACTGTGAGGGTTAAGCCAACAACAAAAATAACAGATGGCCTTGAATATGGTTTAAAATGAGGTTGCAATAATTCCTTGGGGTTTTTGAATAAAGATCCTCTGATCGGGAATAAGAAACTACCTCACACAGTCTACAGAAGATTCGCACTCAGCACAGCCACGCGGTCCGCCTACAACAAAATGGCGACCGGCCATTATTTTTGGCTCGTGCGCCAGCAGCAATCTCCTGCCGTAAGAAGGGATTAGCTCCAGACAACTTTCCCTTAGTACTAAACGGCTGGGAGGGGTGAAAATAACCAGGCGTTTAAGCCCTTCACCCCAAGGTGGCGTTCTGGGGAAAAACAGCAATACAACTCGGTTGCAAGCGAGAGAAACAAAACCACGCCGTTTGTTTATTAAAACGGCATGGCTATCGCTGTGGCAAGGGCAGGGCTAGCGGTTGGGGGAGTGTGGAACTAAGCCGAAGCCTCCCTCAACTTCAGGGCGCAAAAAGTGCTTCCCGATACAGCGATCATCGACGGCCAGATGGAAAAGGCAGCGTGGGTAGATCGTTAAGCAATTTGTTGAGAGAACCTGAAAGACGAATTGACTGTCTCCAAACCTGAAAAGAGAAATTCTTCTGTTTCGGACAAGGAGTAATGAAAAAGCACTGCCTATCCCTCACGAGGCTGAGCCAAAACTGGGGAACGCTGGGGAGGAGTCCCGTGGAGAAGGAGGAGCGTTCCACAAATTAAGCCCAGCCTGGACATGCAGAGACTGAAGCACCTCCCACTACTGGATGCTCTGAACAGCTCACGGGAGAAGATAATATTTGTAGTTCATGGTTGAACTGTGGGTTTCTTGGTGCTCTCTGAACTTGATGGTTTTCTTGCAGATTTTTCATTACCAAACTAGGTAACATCATCAGTACAAGAAGGGAGTGGAGTTTGCTCTTATTTTCATACACTAGTGGCTTACCCTGTTAGTATTGATCAGTTGCTTCACAAAACTGTCTCTATAGGTCTCTATAGCCTCAGGCAGAGAAGGACTATTCTGTACCCCTCTCTCAAATGTTCTTTAAAATACAGAGTTTCCCAGCATTCCTTTAGGAACCTCCAACATGCAAACTGTGGTTACTTGTCCTAAAATGAATTCTCTGTATCTGGAACTTCAAAAACTTTTGTTTGCTGGGGAGATGTGTAGCTAAAAGTCAGTCTACATTTAGTGTACTTTGGGGATATTTCTTCATAAGCAAACAAAAGTGTATTTTCTGTGCAGTTCACGCCCCTTGCTTGTTGGATCTGGATGTCACAAAGCCCTCATTTTGTAATTAACCCCGGTGCCCCATTTTGGCTGGCAGAGTGCTGCAGAAGGCTGAGTGCTGTCATGCCACCTGGCCACGTCCACCCTGGCCACAGCCATCCAGCCACACCCAGCCACCCACACCCACCCAGCTGGTTATTAGGGCAGAGAACTGGTTGTTAAATTATTTGAATCCCACCACTGGTATTAGAGCAATGTTATTGTAATGACCCGGGGCGTGGCACAAAGGCAACACAGTCAGATAATAATAAGAGTCCCTTTATTATCTCCAACTTTGCCTTCAATATCCAGGTTACCTTCTGGCTGGAGAAAAATTCTCCCAGGAACAGCCTTTGACTGCAGAAAATTCAGTCCAAAACAGGGTAAACACAAATTGTAATTTAAAGTCCAAACAAGCCAAACTGAAGTAATTAATTTAGCAGAGCAGGAGCAAGAATTTCAGGAAGGCACGGCAAAACTCACATGGTTGGCAAAACCCACACGGTTGGGAAGACGCCAGGAACACAGATAAGCCATGACAACACAAGATAAAGTCATGTTTGCTCCCAACAGCCTGCCACACGCAGTTTGCCTTTTTTATAAACTGTGTTCCCAGCTGCAGCTAATGAAGGGAATCAGGGCCCTTTCCTCCCCTCTGTGGTTGTAAGCCATGCAACCCATGTTGCTCTCTTCTCCATTCCTCACTGTGTTCTCTTCCTCTGAATTCCCTCTCCCTTGTTCTACCTCTTTCCTGCTCTGCCCAGCTGGACTTTGCCCTTCCCCAGTTTCTTCCACAGCCAACGGAGCCACACTCCCACTCCCTGTCAGCTGTTTGGCTTCCTCCTCGGATTCAGACTCCAACAGGGTCATGACAGTTATATTACTAGACAGCAGACCACAAATCAGATTAATTCAAAAGGACTTTATCACAAGCAGCTTTTATTCCAACCAACTTGCACCAGGATGTTTTCACTCTGTGTAAAGTAAGAGAGGCTTCTTGGCACAAATGAGTTTGAATATTACTGAACCACATTTTTAGGAAGTCTATTCAATTTGTATGTCATCATGCCATACAATTCAGACTTGGCTTTCTTTCTACAGTTTGCAGGACTGTATCATATAAAATAGCTCTATTCATCTACAGCAGATGCCCACATTACCATAGGAAGATTAATCCTGGGCAAATATGCTCCTCATAGCAATCCCATCCAGCCTTTTATGACATTGTGAATTTGAAGCTCATGAATAAAGGGGGATTCTCCAAATAATTATTAACAAGAAATCCAATCCAAAAGCTATGTATACTACTGCATTACTTTTATTTGTTATAAATAAAGAGACCACAGGGGAACTATATTGTAAATGCTGTGTTTACATAAAAATGCACCATTTTTACTTAATTATAAATATTAAATGTACTCCGTTCTAAGATAAAAAATGTCAAATCCCAATCTCAGTGTTCATTGGCTCAATTCAATAATCGTTCATTTGGGAGAACAATATATTGCCCCAATTAGCAAACACAGGTCTGAAATTCTTTTTGTACCTATTTTTGTGTCATCACATATTTAAATATTGTTGCTGAAATATGGTAAGCATAAAAAGTGCACATAGTAAACTTGTTGGCAAAATTATACCTTCATATAGTTCACTATCTTTGCAAGCACTCCAAACTTGTAGCCAGAGCCTCCAGAAAGAGCTTTCAAATTAAAAGTTCCATTGCTGTGGTCTGTAAAGGAAAAGAAAAATGGTATTGACTTTCATTCTCTGGGTCAGGCATAGTGAAATATATACTTCTCGAACAAAACTTATGAAAATATTATATACTTTATTGAGCTATTCCATGAAAATTGAGAAATTTTATTATAAATTTATTAGAATTTTATTGAATCCTAAAAAAATTGGAGAAATCAGGATTTCTTAAAGCACAATTTATTTTCAAAAGAGTCAACAAATAAAACATGCTACTCTAAAAAAATATAAATCTTCAAATGTTTTTGTATTGTTCAGTATATTGCTATACATCTCTTGGTCCAGCCTTAAAACCAGCAAAACTATTTATTCAAAAAATGAATTAATCCACTTTAATGAAAATTAAGATCCTAAGAAATATACTTAATTAAAAGTAATCACAACAGATCTTACTCATACACAAACAGCTGGAAATCACTATAATAATGTTTTTAAAAAACTTTAAGCAAAAACAGAATTACAAAATAGCTTTGAGTGAAAACTGTTTCTTGATTAATACTGAATTACAAGAATGTATTTTTCCTCTTATAGGAAACTGCTATCAGAACATCTCAGAATTTATATCAATTGGTTAATCATAAAAAATAACGGGAAGCAATTTATGAAAGTTACAATGAAAAAAAACAGTGTCCAGGAAAACATGTTTGGTGTCCCCCAAAGAAATCCACTCTGTCTCCCTCCCTCCCTCCTCTTCAAGCTCACATATTGCAATGTAGGAAAATGATGGGATATAGAAGAAACCTACAAAATGGAAAAGCATTTTTTGGCAAATATGTATAGTGTACACTATCATGGTTCCAGGTCACCTAAACTGGAAGCAGTTCAAACTATATTATCTTCCAGTTTCTTAGCCTGAAAATGAACGAAACATAGCAGAGTTGTATTTGCATCCCATCATGGTGAAATGATCTAGAAGGATGTTGTGTTCTGAAATACTGAAAGCTTCCCTGAAGAAAAGGAACATGTTCAAAACTGTCTCAATTTTGTTTGTTTTTTGTTAAAACAATTGCAATAAAATGAAAAAAAAAAAGGATTCTAAGTAATATTGTTCTATACCAATCATGAAGTTACTTTACTACAAAGTCAAGCTAACAAAAAGAACATTAAAAAAGCTTTGGGTAGATTAGGATTTTAAATATTATATAAAAAAACCATTTCTGGAAAAAATGATGGTCAACAGGAAGAAAATGGCAATGATCATAACTTTGTATTTGTTTACTTTACATAGGCTTCATTTTAGTTCCAGTTGAGATGATTTTGAATCAAAATAAATTGCAATGCCTAACTGACTAGCTGGAACTTGAAAAAATTAAACAGGGTTTATTAGCCTGGTTGGTACTGGGATGGAAGAAATTCCAGATTTATAAACTAAACAATAAAACTGGGGGGGGGGGATCTTAGAAGGTTGTAATGGCATATTACTCCCACACTATTGACAATAATTTGTCAATGTATTACATGTCTCATAATATTCTCTTAAATTCATTTTATAAGGTAATTTTGAGGTTTCTTTCATAGTGTAACAAATAAGAAATCCAATTTATTTGCTTGGTCAAGAAAATCCACTGAAAGTAGTTTTGAATACTGGAAATATCAGAATATATCCTTTTTTCAACTGTGTTTTATAGTATTTTATTATATGACTTTTGCATATATATATGTTTGTGCTTGTCACTTTGTCAGTTATGCTGAGCTACTAAAAAGCCATTTACAAATTTAGAAATATATAAATCTGAACAAAATGTTTAAGCATATTATGTTTTTTACAACTATCATCTGATTAAATGACAAACTAGAATTATAAAAGTAGGCCAGAAGACAATGGAAAATGAAATCTTATTAAGCTGTTTCAGAAATCACTGCTTTAATTTCACAGATTCCAATAGCTTATATCATAAAGTAAAAGACAAAGAATAATGGTAAGTCATAAGGTGTTCAAAATATATGTTTTTATTCCAACATGCATATATGTAATTCTCCTCTATTAAGATCTTGACTGTACATGTGTGTTTCACATCAGCTTAATCTGCTATTAGAAAAAAAAACCTGAATAAATTAAAACAATAAATATTAAAGCAAACTAAAGCAAAAAAGAGCACATTGTTTTAAATATATATCATTGTTAAATAAGCTTTTAAAGAGGTTAACAAGGTAGACAGAATGTAATCTGATATTTTACATATTTCAGATTTATTAATGATTTCCTCATTGGGTAAGGGTCTAATGCAAATAAGCATAAAGGAAGCTGTCAGCTGCATTCTGCTTCAGCCAATAGTAGCAAAGCTCCATCTTAGCTGTACCAGAAGCTGTATTAAAACAGCCGATCAGCACTGTTCCAGCATCTTTTCAGAAAGAGGTACGTCTATATCTTTTTTTTTTTAAAGCCTTATAATTATTGTCTTTGTAAAAAATGAATACATTTCAGAAAATTAGAATATGTAAGAGCCCTTATTGATGCATTTTTCAGTTATAGTTGTTTTTGATTCTGAAGCTTATGAGCATGGTGGTTAAATGCAGAGGTGCTTGTCTTGTGATAATAGAGAATCTTGCCATCTGTGCATTCATGAAGAATTGATGACCATCCATTTTAAAAACAGACTAACATACTCAGTAATTGTAAACTAGATCTGAGGTTCTGTTTCCTAATAATTAATTTCATTTTAGGAGGTAAAATTTAATAAATAGGACAGTGTATTTTTAAATGCTAGCAAGATTTTAATTTTTTTCCAAATTTATACACTCATTAAATTGCAAAACCTATCTTATTAACCAAGCCAGTAAACTGATCTCTTCATCTAGCCTTGCCATCTGGCCATTGTATAAGATGAATCAGTAAGTTGCTAACATGGACACTGCTTTAAAGAAATCAATTGGTTTGTAATAGTTTAATAAATAAACTTCCCCAAACTCAATTCAATCTGAACTAGCCACTGGTATTTACACACACACACACACACACACTTTCTTTTATATCAGCTGATAATAATGCAATGTTAGGTATTCAGACATAAGACAGGTTAGTGAAGTTTGCCCCCTCCCCACATATATACAAATGATTTAAGATTGCAACCAAATTTACAGAAGTTTCTGAATTTTATTCAAAGCTTTCTTCTAAAGAATTATAAGGACTATTTAAAGCAATCCAGTGAACTTCATAAAAAGCATACTTTTATTCTTTGTATAACCAAGTAAAATTTCATTCTTATAACCAGTCAATAAATAGTACATATTTTTATCAAACCATATATCTAGCTAGCATTCAGCTGCATAGATTATACTGAAATTTTTAGTAGACAGAACATGGTTTGTTTCAAAATTTTAAACTCCCAATACAAAAATTGCCATCATGGATATAGAAATATATACAATTTGAATAGGACAGGAATCTGTTTATTTCTGTAGTTAAATAAACATAGGCGACCCTGAATACAAACTTTAGCCTGAGATTCTATAATACACGTTTTATCTTATCAAAGTAAGATTTAAAATAAAAATGAGTAATGATTATCCTTATGAAAAACTGCCTAGCTATTTTTGAAGTCAGAAATATGTTTTCTCCTTAAATACTGAGTTCTAAAAATTCTGAAATGTGTTGTCTTTTCACTTTTGCAAACTTGTAGAGTTTAATATTGCAATTAACAGTAAAATTATATTACCACTAAATATCTGTCAAACAATTGCACGCTGTCAAAAACTAATATACTCTACTTTTTCAACCCAAATTAAATTTCAATATTCAGGGATCTGTTTCCCAGTAAAACTTTCAATATTAACAGTTCTCTTTGTATCATGAAACAGACTGGTTTCTCTTATTAGACAAAACATGCCTGAAGACAGCTGTTGCCAATATAACATCACAGCTGTAAAAGTCAACTTGAAGGAGACCTTACCTTAGCTAACTCACACCTTGATATATCCCTGACTCAAAACTCACTTTAAATATATTCTAAATATTTTGACACTTATCAATGTTGCTTCTAGTAAATACAAACTATATCTGGAACATATGCAGTTATTCTGTCAATTCTATAGTAAATTTACTGCAACTTTAGGGTAAGGAAACTGCTGTGGCTAAATGAAATATATAGCTATCAGTACATATTACTGCTGCCAAAGATGGAAAGAACCAGTTAGGAAATTACAAATAAACATTTACTTATTTTATTTATTTTTATTTATTTTTATTTGTCAATCGCTTACAAGATAATAGGTATAAGTATATACATTGTTTTTAATACATGAAATGGGTACATATAAGAAAAATAAAAGAAACAATAGGACAGGGACGGTAGGCACATTGGTGTGCTTATGCATGCCCCCTACAGATCTCTTAGGAAAGGGTTGAGGTCAATAGTAGACAGTCTAAGGTTAAAGTTTTTGGGGATTGGGGAAGAAACCACAGAGTCAGGTAGAGTATTCCAGACATTGACCACTCTGTTGCTGAAGTCGTATTTCCTGCAATCAAGTTTGGTGCGGTTAACCTTGAGTTTGAATCTATTGTGTGCTCTTGTGTTGTTATGGTTGAAGCTGAAGTATTCATTGACAGGTAAGTCATTGCAATGTATGATTTTATATACCATACTTAGATTAGACAGAAGACGGCGTAATTCAAGGTTTTCTAGGTCTAGAATTTCAAGTCTGATGGCATAAAGTATTCTACAACGAGTAGAGGAGTGGAGAACTCTTCTTGTGAAATATTTCTGGATTTTCTCAACTGTGCTAATATCAGATACGTAATGTGGGTTCCAAACTGATGAGCTGTATTTGAGTATTGGTCTAGCAAATGTTTTGTATGCTCTAGTTAGTAGTGTGATATTACCAGAGAAAAAGTTACGTAGGATTAGGTTAACAACTCTTAATGTCTTTTTGGCTATGTAGTTACAGTGGGCTCTAGCACTTAGATCATTAGATGAGTATTCCAAGGTCCTTTACAGAGCTTGGATCATCAACAAGGTCTTGACTATTCAGCTTGTATTTTATTTTCTGATTTTTTTTGCCAATATGTAAGACAGAACATTTATTTGTTGAGATTTGAAATTGCCATTTGTTTGACCATTCTGATACATAGTCAAGATCTTTTTGAAGGGTAGCAGTATTGTCTGTGGTATTGAACAGCTTTACATCATCAGCAAAGAGATCGCAGTTGCTCTTAATGTGATCACAGAGGTCATTTATGTAGAGTATGAAGAGAGATGGTCCTAGAACGCTGCCTTGGGGGACACCACTATTGACAGGTACAGAATTTGATAGGACACTCCCAATTTTGACCATTTGTTGTCTGACAGGAAGGCTTCTATCCAGTTATGCAGCTGTCCAAAGATAGCATAAGATTTTAGTTTTAGGAGTAGTTTGTCGTGTACCACTGAATCAAAGGCTTTACATGCTACTCCTGTCCTATAATTTTATAAGATTTTTATATATCTTTTATACTGTATATCTAGAATAACTGTTGAAGATTTTTATTCTAGATATATAGTCTAGAAACTAGAGATTTTTCTTTTGGGATTAGTGGACACTAGAAAAAGCCATGAAAGCCTTTTTATTTATGACAATTTCAACAAGATTACTATATGGTCAAAACTGGAAAAGTTTGACACTGCCAACAATATGGAGATTGTTGGTGAAGATGATGGAATTTGCAGAGGTGACTAAATTAACTTCTTTAATAAGAAAAAAGACAGTATTTATATTAATGGCTGCCCTTATACAAGTTTTTGCATGAAACAGAAAAATCCTCTTATGGTTTTGATTAGGAAAAAAAGTGGATAGTAGAAAAATGTGAGCTTTTAAAATCATAGTAAGAGTTCTACTAATACCTGTATTTACTGTAGTGGAAACCCAACAAGCTTCCTCATGTCCAACCTTAAAGTTCAAACCTAGGGTTACTGTATCTGGATGGCAGAAATCTGGATGACCACTAGATAGAAGCATTTATTTTCTATACTTTTCTTTGTTATGTTACTTTTTGCAGTCCAGATATTTTGGCTCATTAAAATTTTCAAATGGTTTGAATGGAATAATTCCCAAGTCCCCTTCAAATACTCCATTTGTTTAGAAATCTAATGTATAGTTTTGGAAAATTAGTTTAGAATACATTGGCTGTTGGTTTTATTCCAGAAGTGTATTTCCAATGATCTTTGACTAGAGATTAGTAATCATGTGGAGTTGGGTTTCTTCCTGGGATAATATGAAGAACTATCTTTTAATTCACAGCTTCTGTTGGTGCCATATAGAAACCTGATTCTCAGAGAAATAAATACATAAAATGTAACATTGTAATGATTTTCCCCTGCCTGTTCTTTCTATTCAATCTGATTCAGAAGAAGCTCTAAACGAAGGCATTACTTTGGATTTGACATCCACAGGATTCTTCTGGCTATCACACTGAATCTAGTTTCTTTTTGTTACAGATATACAGCTATATTACATAAATTGTAAATTGCTATCTAACTTGATCCAGATAAATATTACACTAGTAAATCTACACCTAAGACAGTGGTTCTCAACCTGTGGTCTGTGGAACCGTGGGGGACAATGCCATCACAGGGGGTTCACAAAGACTTGAATAAATGTTATGATTTAAATCTTGAATTAAGTCTTGGGAGTCTGTGGCCATTGTCCGTGGCCAGTTAGAACAATTAATCAGTGCAACAACCTCCCTCCAGAAGTTGCAGATGCTCCAACACTGACAGTTTTTAAGAAGAGATTGGACAACCATTTGTCTGAAATGGTATAGGGTTTCCTGCCTAAATAGGGGGTTGGACTAGAAGACTTCCATGGTTCCTTCCCACTCTATTATTCTGCCACAAAAGGTATTTAAAGGGGGTCTATAGTGAAGAAAAGGATGAAAATCACTGACCTAAGAAATTAACAAAGCTACAACAGAAGCATTAAAATCTCTGTGTAGGATAGCTTCTGACATACAATTTTGTCAGTGCCCAGTTGATGATTTTGTAACAGTTTAGCTGGAGTTCTTCACTTATCACTGCATGGGAGACTGACTTGATCATAAAGCAAAGCTTTAGAAATTTTCTAGCATTTTCTTTTGAAGGAATTAGCTTGATCCTTGAGAGTGGAATAGATGGTATCAGTTGACAGGCATAATTATTAAAGTTTTAGACCATCATACAGTGCATGTATCCTATTTATCTTCCTGACCCAAATGGAGGAGTTGCAGAGTTATGGCTGAGACCAGGGAGGCTTTCCTGAGATGAAATTCTATCATAGGTTGCTTTCTTCTCCTCCCACCATCATATTTTCAGGTTTGCATAGACTTTAGAGTTACCCTATGAAGATTATTGTCTTAGACCAGGGGTGTCAAACTTGATTTCACTGAGGGCTGCATCAAGGTTGTGTTTGACCTTGGGGGGCTGGGGTGGGCGTGGCCAGAGCTACATCACTCCTGTCCGGGATGCTTCTGGTGGCCCGAGTGCTCTGCCAGCGAAAATGGGCTCCTGAGCTCTGTTTTCAGCTGCCATGGCCTCCTACAACCCTCTGCCAGTAAACTGGAGCTCAGGAGGGCCCTCCTGAGCTCCATTTTCACTGGCAGAGGCACTGCGGGCCAGATCTAAGCATCCTATGGGCTGTATCTGGCCCCCGGGCCTTGAGTTTAATACCCTGTCCTAGACTGTAAAAACAATGTAAGACACATCTAGAAATGGGATCTGCTCTAGAACATTCTTCCCTTAGGAAATTGCAATTCTCACCTTGTACAGTAATTGGAAATAATAAAAACTGGAAAGGAATTTACTTACATTACAATGTACTTACATTACAGTTTCTTTCTGAAAATTTGAATTGTTTTGAAAAACACTTCCATGGTCTGCAATTCAAATCTAAACTTTTTAGGAAAGTTGATATTTATAGGCGATATGTGATAGCTTTCTTTTTTTTCCTTTGAAACAATTCCATGATCATTTTCATTCTGCTGTGAGTGGGCAGCTCCTTCCTCAGTGTTGTTTTTTCTCAGAGCTTCTCGTTGAAACAAAAAAGTGAAACAGCAGGGTAGGCGGGGTTAATAGGGCACTGAACCAGACTGTAATCTGGAATCCTTTTAATATAACTCATAAAGACCTCTCAATTATATTACATTCCTTGGGCACTTAAATGGACTGTTTAAAACTCTCTGCTGTCTTATAACAATGTGGCTGATATGTATCGAAAGAAGTCATACTAGGTAAGACATCCTCTAGCTCCTGTAATGACCATTATTGGGAAAGGACATTTGGAGGGCCAATGTTCACAACATAATCTGGATGTCTGGGATCAGAATTGTATATGAAAAGTAAAATAATGCTGCAAAAAGCAGCTTTATTGAACTCTTCTATATACTTTCTTTCAGGTATAATAAATTAGAGGCTTATATGTAGCTTTCAAAGACTAATATGATCTGAGCAAGATTTGTCACTTTCACCCAGTTCTTTTCCCTACTCTGTAGTAAAAGGAAATTGTTTCCCATAAATTAGAAGGTTTTCTAGAAACTAAGTAGAAAACCCTTTCTAGATCCAATTAAATTCTGCTTTCCCAGTTTTCCAGTTTCAGAGAGAGACTTTTTACCATTTTAACTTTCCTATTCCTCTTTGTAGTTTTGATTTAAATAGTAACTGGAAAGGGGGGAAATTATGAAATTCAATATGAGTGACACTGATCTAATGCTGCTGTTATTGTTCTAGCAATGAGTAACTAAAAAGTTAAGTACTGTAGTTTAAGCTGAGGTGAGCAACTTATATACATCCTCCCCAGTAGCCTTTTATGTGACCTTTGTTGGTACCCACAACATCCCTGTCCTCTTCCCACATGCTTGTCCCTCCTGGTATTATGATGTTGCCAGCACTGAATTGAAAGGCACTGTTTCTGCAAGCCCAGCAACATAGCATCCTTTCTATATAGCAGCCTTAGAGCATTACTTTATGATCCAGTGACTGGCAAACTGAGGTTTTTTCAGAAAATCAGCATAGTGAACGTTTAGCTTTATCAATGCCAAACACTTTGGCTTTATCAATAAAGATGAAATCAGAAATCAACAATTGCAATACTGCAGCATTGTTAAGTCCATTTACATCAGCAAATGTCTTCAAAATATTTCTTCAAAAAACATTTTGAAAACATAATTTGATACTGTAATGATTTATCTGAGAGTTATCCCAATAAATTCAATACATTTGGGTAGTCATTTATACAATTATGCTGTGAGCTATAAAGAACCACATTCCCAACTAGAACTGAATTGCAAATTGCGTATTCAGAATGATTATGACTGGCATGCCAGTCAAACACTCCAAAATGAATGTAAGGAGTAGCTTGAAGATTTTATGTTATTATGATACCATTTGTAAAAAAGATCAGAAGCAGAGATAATTTATTATTTAGCTCTTCAGGCAAAAAGCTTTCTATTTACTGCAACAGCATACTCCCAGCTTACTTGCTAAATGAATCAGGAAACTGATGATGATCTATGAAAAAATTGGCTTTGTGACCCTTTAGCACCACCATTTTAAAAAGCAGGGCTTTTGTTTTGCTGTTTTTAATGGCTGTATTCTATTTGTTTATTCTTTGGAAACCCTGCACTACCAAAATTTGGTACCAAAGTGTAACTTTCTCTCTAAAGAAACAAGGTAAATTACTCTAATTTCCATCCCTAAAGCTCCAAAAATCATTCAATATGGCTAAAAAACTAATTTTGCCCCTTCAAGGGTTGTCATTATCTTTCTGGTGATATCACCTGAAAATCTCCCCAGGGCATTATGGCCATTGACCCTGGGAAAATTGTCTACTTGTGTTTTATAAAGAAACATTTATGACGTGTAGTAAACTAAAAATAAAAATAGCTTTTCCAGTTTTAGTTCGTTAGTAAAAGAAAAAAGAACCCTAACTATTTATATATTTTAATTTATTGCAGAGAGAGAAATCAGAGGCGTTTCCAAACATGGCAACTTTCAACATTAGCCGCTGGAATGAAACCACATCCCTTTATCAGTATCTTGGCTTTCAAGTGCAGAAAATTTACCCTTTCCATGATAACTGGAACACTGCCTGTTTTATCATCCTGGTCATATTTATATTTACTGTAATATGTTTGGTGGTACTAGCCTTTTTATATGAGCTGCTTGACTGTTGCTGCTGTGTTAAAAACAAAACCATGAAAGACTTAGAAAATGAACCCAATCCTGTTAGATCTATGATGAACAGCTTCAGAAAGCATGAAACGGAAGTGGTGTAGTGGTGGAATGATCTTCAGCATCGGAAACAAACAGATGTGCAACATTATATTGAAGCCTCTTGTATTTTAGGACCAAGCAATTCAGATCCTGTTTAGCCTTAAATATCGCTATTAGCAGTCCCTTTTTTGCTGATGGGTAGAAACCTGAAAAGGTTACAAAATACTTGCTAATGGATAATGTCACTGTGTGGTGTGAAAACAGAGGGTTGTTTTGTTTTATAATGAACTGCTGTTGAATAGTACTGATTAAATACATTTTTGTTCATCTAATGAATTGCTTTTTGCTTTATTTAAAATGCAGTCAGAATAAATGAAAGCATATTAAGATACCACAGAATATAAAAGTATCATTTGCCATGCGATCAATTTGATTATATCTTTAATATATCAAAATAGTTTGATACTCCATTACCTCAAACAAGAGACTATTCCAACACAAAGGGTTCAAAATAATATTTTACAAATCTATTAACTATTAGATAAGTAAAAGATATGGATTATTATTAGTTGTACATCAAACCCTTTTTCTCAGTGCTTAAGACACTTCCTAATTTCTTAGCAATTATATTCCCCATAGTTAATTATACAATGATCATGTCAGCCTTACACAAGTACTGAAAAAGTCAGCTAAGAAACAGAGCCAAAGGAAATGTTAATGCTTCCTTATCCAGTCCAGCTTTTCATTTTAATATGTAATCCAATTCATTAAAATCCTATAGCAAATATGACAGTAACCTTGTTCCCTTATTTTGATTTAAAGTGAATTTTAAAACATGGGACTGCCGTCAAAACAGCACCTATACACTGAGTCCTCAATACCAAAATCTATGCTATAATAGGCTATCAAAAGTTGGGATCATAAAATGGGGCAGAAGTTCTTTCTCAATCTCAGTCATCAGAAATAATTCTTATCAAACCAGTTTAGGATTATAATTCCTTGGCTACATTATTCTCTATCACGTCTACCACTTATGTTGCTTATTTTATCAGCCTTGAATAATAAGATTGTCAGCATGAAAATTAAAAAAGGGAAGGAGAAGGCAAACACATTTATGCAACAAGAAGTAAGATTGTAAAGATTGCTTTTATTATATAAGTGTTATTTGTTTGTGCTACTGCAAAAATCAGTAGGACTTTTGACTCATTGCTCCTACATCAATTGCAAAAGACTCCATCAGAAATCCCAAGATCCAGAACATTCCCAGAAAAGAAAAGACACATGCCTGAAGATATTATTTTAGAAATAGAAAGCTAGGTTAAATGTTAAACTTAAAAAAAAACACTAAAATATAATCAAATGCAAATTGTTTGATTATTCCACTCACTGCATAGCTAGAAAGAAAGCCCACTAAGTAAATAAGTATGCACAATCTAAAAATATAGATAATCCTTGCTAAATAACCTTGTTTGTACATTAGACACATTGGTTCATAAATTACCTTGTTTTTAAGCTTCACACTTCTCTCTTTTTGAGCATTTCACCAACTGCATCTAAGCACAATTTTCTGTTATCTTTCAACACATTCATCTCTTTCTTCATATATTTATTATTTCTTTCTATCAAACCACTTCAATATGCTTCTTTCTTACTGGTTATTCAGTGCTGTATTCAACCCACATTAATCAGCACTCGTTTGTTTTTAATGCTACCTTTCCATATTTCTTCATGTTTGAACAAATACACTTAAATAATTCCTGTCCACTAAATTTAATTTCCTTTGTTTTGTTTAGCATATTCCATTCATCTCAAATTCCATATAACAAAGTGGCAAGGTACATGCTCTTTTAAACAGCCATGTTTATTTCTTTTACTCCTTTTTCATCCTTTGTCATTTTTTTTAACAGAGAACATCACCCATTATCTTTCTACGAACATTTACGCTTGTTACAATTTCTTCTCATCTTTAGTATACATTCTCATCAATCAAATTCATCAATTTGATTTAATTTTTCACCCTTTATGTATAAACTCTTATTATATAATGTGATTTATTGCTGGTTGTAAGTATTCAGGGTTTCAATTAACAACACAGCATCATCCAGCTGCAAGCATACATATATATCTATATCTATCTATATATCTATATATATCTAATTAATATTCTTCTAAAGACCCTCAACAATTTCTTACACCAATGGGATAATATCCATCTTTCTATTCAGTATGCAACTACTCACTTAACCTTCCAAACCTTTATTTTCGTCATATAATGTTTACATGGTATTCAGCAACTACTTTTCAACTTTTTCCATAATTCAAATCTATTCATGTTATTGCATGCTTTTTCAAAATATGCAAATATACAGTAAACTTTCTTCCTACTGAAGAGTACAGGTTTGTTCTGGAAACCACTGTGCAATATAAAATTGAGGTGCACTTCCCAAATTTTGTTAATTGTCACTTCCTGTACCCTTTCAAACAGATTTCTGTAATTTTACCCTGTTTCCCCAACAATACGGCCTCCCCCAATAGGAAGTCCCAGCATGTTTTATAGGCATGAAATGAAATTAAGCCCCTCCCCCCAAATTAAGGCCTATATTAAAACATGCAAAATTGGGGGAATGGTGGGGGGGCTTGCCGTTAGGAAGTACTTTTGTTGCACACCCGGATATGGTGCTGCCTGCATTGACCCCGATACGAAGTGCCCCACCAATGCCGAGGTCAACATCCAAGCCGTCGCCGCCCGCTCAAAGATGCAAGGGGGGGGAATTAAGTCACCCCCGAAAAGACGGCCTAGCCATTTTTTCGGGGCTCAAAAAAAAAATAAGACCCAGCCTTATTATATGAGAAACACGGTAGTATTGGTATTTTTTTCTTTTATCTAGAGGAACAATTAACAGCATTCCCCAACTACCAATGTATTAAATAAATCTAGCAGCTACTCCATGAGCAAGTCACATCCATATTTTAACATTTCTTCAGTTAGAGCTATCAGATATGTAGCCTTATCATTTTTGACTTTTTTATGCGTTTATTACTTCATTTTCATTATTTTTGTCTTAAGTTATATGCACCGTATTCAGCTCAATTCCACTCTTCAAAATAACACTGTTATTGCAATGCAAATCACATATGTATTGATTCAATTCAGTTTCATCACAAATCATTTCATCACTTAAAATCTTATTCACTCTGCTGGAAACTCCATGTTTAGCCCTCTTCACCCATTTCTAGGATGTATTTTTTCTGTGATAGCTCTTATGTGCATTTTTTTAATCCATAGCTTTTTTCATCATTCCTTACTTCCTATTACCATAACTATACATTCTTTCCTGGCACTCAATACCACAGTTCTGATTACTCTACAGAACTTCCACATGAACTTTCTTTATTGCTCCCTTCCATTCCTTCTATTTTTATAGTATATCATATTTGCGCTCTTATAGCTCTATTATACTTTCACTCTTGTTACTTTCACTTCTTTCCCTTTCTTCCAGGACATTTCTTTTCCAAGATCCACCCTTCATTCTTACTGGGAAATGCTCTATTCAACATTCAGAATCTCTGATCAATTTTATGCCCTTCACTCAGCCTTTCAATTTTCATCATAAATATTCAAACTAATCATGCTTGTAGATTTATACTCTTTATTTTGCCATATATAGCTAAATATTTATATAATTAAAACAAACATGTACGGTATTTTTAAGCAGAAACTGACCGAGTATTGGAGATAATGTGCTGGTGCTGTAAACCACTCAGAATGCTATAAAGCAGGAGTCCCCAACCGCCGGTCCGCGGACCGGTACCGGGCCGCGGAACAACTCTTACCGGGCCGCTGGTTGCTGGGCGCCGCCATCTTTTTTTGGTAAAAAAGTGCTTCCGGTGAGCTTTTCCGGGTAGAAAGCCATTTCTACCCGAAAAAGCTCACCGGAAGCGCTGGCGCCGCCATCTTTTTTGACGAAAAAGTGCTTCCGGTGAGGTCACCGGAAGCACTTTTTCGTCAAAAAAAGATGGCGGCGCCCAGTTGATGCCGGTACCGGGCCGCGGCGCCCAGCTGATGCCAGTACCAGGCCGCGGCGTCAAAAAGGTTGGGGATCCCTGCTATAAAGCACTGTGGAGTGGAATATAAGTCCAAGTGCTATTGTTATTCTTGGGTCTCTGAATAATCCACTTTTTCTCTTACTTGTTTTTCTCCCATCTGTCCATGTCACCTTGCAGAGTAATTTTTTTCCTGGATTCATGTGCAATGTTTTTTTCCATAGTCATTACTGGTTCTTCCATTAGCATTACACACTGGAGCATAACATACAACTTATCAACAATTCATGGATTACAATTTTTATTTGTATCCATAATTTAGATAACATTCATCTTTTGCCATACATTTTAGCTCTTTCTTTCATAAAGTTATATCTTCATTTCACTGCAAGCATTCATCAGCTCCACTCCATAAGAACTGATTACCTTCAGAGTATTACATCCTTTATTTTTCTCTTAGTTTCAATACAAATTTATTTTTACAATTTATTCATTATCTCATGCTCTTTATATTCACATTTACATATATTCCTAGTTGTAATCTTCCAAATGTCAGACTTGCCAACTGATGACATATTTATCTTCATCACCTATCGTGGCCAATTAAGACTTTCACATAACGATTTTAGGTATGTTAAATGAGTAGAGTAAGAATAGACTATGTGACCAACCACAATCACAATCATGCTACGCACAGCATTCCCTGTTAACAGTAAGAGCAATGGTTATCAGTTTTCACATGCATTTTGGTCAGCATGCCACATCCAAAAATTCAGTTTTAGGCCAATATGGTCACCTTATTCTATGCAGCTATCTATGCAAGTCAACATGCTATTACCTGCACCCATTAACCAAGAGGTACATGCATCAATTACTTATTTCAAATTTCTCTCTTCCCCCACTAACCTGTATTTGGTTTTGAACTTGATGAACCACTCTGTTCTACTTTGGCTTTCTTCTTTTTAGAAGATGAGGAATCAGAAGAAGGTGTTGGACGTTTCTCTACAGCAGGTGTACAGAGTGCTCGTTTCTTGAAAAGTTCTCGTTCTCGTAACAAGTTTGGATCCATAATTCTGTCACAGAAATAAAAATGACACATAAATATTAACAACCAAAATAATTCTTAATTTAATATTGTACGTTTAAAGCTCAAAACAAAAATAGTGTTTTATTTTTAGACACTGACAAATCTATGCTTGCAAAAAAAAAAACAACCTGAATATGCCACCTTAAGAGGTTTAGTATTCTCCAAATATATATTTATCA